TAGCTCACAATATGAGAGTTACCAAACTGTTGTGGAAAATGGAATTAAAAGATAACCCATATGATTATAAGCCATTAATATATGTAAGTATTCATAAGTCTTTAATCAGTGTCTAGATTATTATAAAGAATGTATACATTATAAAATATGTATCTATCTTTTCCTAATAATGGTTCTAATTGGTGTTTAACTCTTATTGGCGCTCTGTCGGGATGTTTATATGTATAAGTATGTATATTTAGGGAATCGAAATTGAATTGAATTTAAGAATGTGTATTTTGACAATAAATTGTCATATTGGCCAGTATTGTGAATAAAGGTCGAGAATAGAATTCAAAACTGTAAGATTGGTAAAAACAAGGTTGTTGTACTCGTTTTTCGGGTTTCTGTACTTTCACAATTGCAGAAAGTTGTTAATTGATGTCAATGTATTGTTTGATCAGGGTCTTCTACAATAATATGATTGTATATTCATTATCTAACTGAAAATTTATCCAACATCCTTATTTCTTTTGTAGTATTGCCATGTGATTAATAGCATTCCCACAAAAGTCCGGTCTTAAAACTGTAAACACTAAATTCTCTTCTGTTTTAATTACTCTTGAAATGTAAATGACTATATATTATAAAAATAGTCCATTCTCGACCTAAAGTTTTCAACTTGCAGTGATATTCATACGTCCGGACGAGATGGAATCTCAACAAGTAAGGCTGCTATATTAACTTGTAGTGTGTAACGTGTGATAACAGAACGATAGTGTTGTGACTGTAATCGTGTAACTGGGAATGTAGATAGTGCCCCAAGAGGCGGTGTTGCCAGATCTCCCGATTTTAAGGGAGTTCTCCGGCATTTTAATGAATCTCCCAATTCTAAAATGATCCCGTTTAACGAATTGTATCTAATACAAGTTTTTTTATAGTAATAGATTATGTAACGTTTTAAATTCTCTAGATATGAAAATATATGTAATAAACATAAAATGTATAGGTACTAAAATTGAATAATTTATATTCGTTTCCAACGCTCGCTCTAAAAATTATGTTAACGACGGGGTAGACAATTAGGTGTAACTCAGTCTTGTTTATAATTTAAAAAAAAACCGTTTGTTTCTTAATCCACAAACTTTTTTCAATTTGTTTTTATTTTTGTATTTTAAGATATTGAATCTGGCAATACTGCCCAGTGTAAAGTAAAATGGAGACTAATAATACAGAATTGATGCCAATTTTTATAACAATAAGTATTCAAATATGTTATGTTTTCTTGTCGACGTTATCGCTATAAAAGATATAACTTATGGTACTACTGAACATAAATTTAATTATTTTTTGTAAGACTTTGGCTTCTTGTTTTTTTACACTATTTAGTATACTGTATCAAAATACAGTGAATCAACCAATTACAGCAAAAAGATAAGGTTTTTATATCTATCCCTACTTGATAGATTGGTATCTATTAGGTAAGGATAGCGATAAAAACCTTACCTTTTTGTAGTAATTGGTCTAATTCTTAATTTTTATCATTATCTAGTATAGTATATTAAAATACTGTGAATCGACCATCTACTATAACCTACTTAATAGATTGGTATCTGTTAGGTAGGTTATATAGTAAATGGTCGATAGGTAGGTGGTAGTGATCGATTCACTGTATTTTAATACACTATACTAGATAATGATAAAATTTTAAGAATTAGACCAATTACTACAAAAAGTTAAGGTTTTTATCGCTATTCTTACTTAATAGATACCAATATATTAAGTAGGGATGGTTATAAAAGCTTACCTTTTTGCTATAATTGGTCGATTCACTGTATTTTCATGCACTAAGTTCTAAAATAAACTTGACATTCAAAATGAAATTGATTCATTCAAATTTCTTGGCTTCAATTCTGTCTTCACAGTGTAAGCTCTGGTTACAAGTTAATCTTTATTCACATGAGCTATATTTTGCCGTAAATGTGGCGTGATTAGAGATATATGGACGTAGTTAATAAAGTTTAGTATAAAATTTAAGACTTGGATAAAAAACTTCATGACATAACAGTTTTACATTGCCTCACATTCAGATTGATGTGTATTCTATTTCCGTACAATACAAACATTTGTATTTCAGTTTGTATGTTTTATACCAAAAAATTACATTGTGTGACAGTGTATAATGGACACTGGAAAAACTGATTGTCATTATTTCTTTTGGCTTTCTTTGATTTGGTTTCAGCATATATGATGATGGAATATTAGTTTAACACTATTTAATAATAGTTGTGAGTGAAATCTCTATGTCACTGCCATTAAATAACGGTAAAATAAAGTCCTTGTGAAGGGGTATAGCTGATGACATATAGTGTGACAGCGACGGAATATGTGCGATGAAAGCGTCAATCTTTTGATAATATTATATTTATGTAATAATTACACTGTTGTATTTACTATTAAGAACATATTTAAACATTTTTGACGTCTCTTATAGTGATATGAAAAGTCTTGATTAATCAAAAGCATGTAGAATTAAGGTCGTATAATCGATATCAATGTTCTGATCAATGTGTCATTCTTTAATTATTGGTATTATTCCATTTGTTTGCTTTGTTCGCTGACATTTAATGTCACTTTTATTACAATAATTTCACTATAAATTACTCAGGTTGTATCCAGATTCTAATATAATTTATTTCGTACCTTTGCAACTGCTTTACATAGTTCTGGAAGTTTGTCACACAGTAGGGACCGCGTTTATACATAAACAAGTTTAAATTCACAATTTTGGACTAACAGAAATTGTTCACAATTTTTCTTTTATATTTTTGTCTGTGAGTATATACTTATTATCGTTTAAAAATATTTACAAAGGTGCTTTATAGCATTTACGGTCCCATGTGAATTTCTTGAGTGTTTTCTTTCCCATTTATGTATCGTCTATCTCTTTAATATCTTTTGGTGTTAAGGTCCGCACGTTGTTTGTATAGTTATCTCTCTTGCACGTATATGTATGACAAGATAGAATATACTACAGCGTTGCTCCTCAACACTATATAATGGCGAATAAGTCTCCGATTAATTAAGTAAAATTATTTTGAATTATTAAATTTGAGATTATTTTCTAACTAATTGTCACTGCAGCTACGGAGCGTTTAATTTTGTTTTATGCATAGAATACACATTTTTATTTTATTTACAACGAATTTCTCGGTTACCCTATATTTATTCAAATTTTGTAATGCTCTCTATATTATGATTATACAGTTATAAGTATGTGTATAAGATTATTTATTACCATTTCATATTACTACTTCTTTCAAAATATATGGTTTGTATGTAATTACTATTTGTTTGCCCTTTATACCGTAATAAAACAATGTATTAATTGATGCTATACATACCTTAAGTTGTGTCAAAATTATTATTATATACCTTTTACAAAAAACATATGAAATGAAATGTTACTGTTAATAGATTTTAATGAATAATTTGTTTTTGTCATATTACAGACGAGGGGTCTACAATAAATTACGTTACATTATTTTTTATCCCACCTTTTACAGCCATTCAGAATATAATAAATGAAAAATTTGTGTTTTAATACTTAAACTGAAATGTTTCGTCATAAAATCTAGGACCCCTCCCAGGGGTGGGAGGGCTACTACCAGGGTTGGAAGGGGTCCTAGATTTCATGATTTACACATTTGTACATCACCAATCACTTGTTATATAATGTCACGCTTTATCAACCCCCACACATTTCTAACGTATGACGTAATTTATTATGCCCCTGATTATTTTTTATAAAAACATTCCAAAATGTATTTATTTGATACATTTCATTTTAATTCTTGGACTGTTTCTCCACTTTGTAATATTTGAAATGAGGTTTTGGGTTTTAGTTTTTATGAATGAAGTATAATAAAAATATTTTCATGGTCATTATTCACTTCTACATTATAATAGGGCAATCGAATGTTGAAATTATAACAGAATTTTCCCACTGTACTGATTAAACTATGTCTCTCCTTTTATTGAGTATACTCATTGTATTTCTCTATATTTTTTTATATTAGCTTTACATGGAATAAATTATCATTTTGTACCATTTGTTTTATTGATAAACCCGTATTCCGTCGTATTAGCTATAGTTAAGTATTTTTTTATCAGCTAAATGAAAAGACCAAAAGTCGGCTGGTAAGCAGCTAACGTAGTCCACATGTAAGAGTTGTCATCATATTATTCAGTACCGTGTTTTCAACTTTACTTAACCCTGATCGACAGAGATTTTTTTCAAACCTATCGGAGGTAGAGCATATTGCTAACTTCCCATATTTGCAGGATTAACTCCTTGCACGGCAAACGTTTGGATTCGTGAGTATGATTGTTGATTGTCTAGCTGTTTTTTATGTTTATATCAGTACACAAGTTTTCATTAGTTTGGGACTAGATGGCACTGTGTGAATTGTCTTGAGATATAAGTAACGTCTAACCACTTGACAATTTCTTATTGACTGCTTTTGGTACACTCTATAACATGTTACGTTAGTGTTATTAAAAAAACAGGTTGCATGCGGTTTTTGAATATTTGAAAGATATAACTCACGTATTCAGGGCTGAAAATTGAGTATCGAGAAAGCTAGACACATGAAGCAAGACTACATAACTACGTATAACTTTCACGGTACTCACTACCTGAAGATAATATTAAATGGAATAATGAAACCAGAGATACCTTACAATCATCTATTTCTTTTACCAAGTAAATTGCTACAATTTTTTTTCCCCTTTTAAAAATGTGATATGGTTATGTAAGTTTTGACATTAAGCTACCGTATGTACCTTAGTGCTCAAAAATGGCAATGCATAATACCATCATTGTTACAATATCATAGAAAAATGATGTCCGTTGCACTGTATATATTATTTACCACTGTATCAGATGGGTTAAATTAGTTTACCATTCTAATCCCAATAAAAAAATGAAAGTTTGAATATCTTTCTAATTTTATTGTTCTTCGCACAAACAAAACCAATATTTTATTTAGTAACCTAATATCTCATCCAATACATGCCAGCCCTGATCCTGGTGTAATCTGGCAGACCTTCCGTCGGCCCCACTGCTGCCACCGCTGGACATTTGTCGTAAAGATACTTCATGCACGTTTCCCTCACATCCTTTGAGAGCACCTCGTCTATAGAACAGATTCTATCCAGCATCGTTGGTCTCACTCCATTGTACAGTACCCATCTTCCTATGTCGTGACATGCTCCCTTACAACTTTCCGTTTCAGAAAGGGTTTTAGACTTCAATAGTCTCTTCCCTCTCTGCACTTCTCCATCAGATGCCATTGTACATAGTCTCATCCATTCGTCTTGAATAATGTATAACATATTCTCTAGTTTTAGTGAAGGCGCCATGAATTGTACCCCCCAGAGACCTGTATCTTTATAGTTAATGTTTAGACATTTGTATGAATCGCACGAGTCTGTCGTAGACGCTACTCTGGCCACGTACGTGGAGTGGTCTATCCCGCCAGGCTGGGATCTGTCCCATCCACCAAATATCTCTGTTGCAACATCCATTACTAATTTGTCTGGATCGCAAAAAGAGGGACCTTCTACCGCAATAGCTACGTTTGCTACAGGAATGGAATCATCTCTAAAACGTACTTCCGATCCGGTGAATCTATATTCGCTGGAGTCAATACATTTAGTAGGTTCGAAATTGCACAAATATTGATTTGCCAAGCAAACCATTTGGTCATGTCTGAGCCCACCGACGGCGGCAAAAACAATTCTAGTTGGATCAAATTGTCTAGTCAAATATCTGCAAACAGTGCACTCGTTGAAGTTATAGAGATTCGTGCTCGGCCCCATAACAGACTGCCCGAGTTGCGTGCCCTGGAATGCAGTTTTGTGTAAATAGTCGTCCAACAGTTTGTGTGGATCTTTGTCGTGTTCCAGCATTTCGTAGTACACAGTTTTCTTTTGGACTTCCAAGTCTGCATACGAGTAGCAGTTATTGAAGATGCAATCGGATAAAATATCAACGACAACGGGTATGTCCTGGCAGAGACATTCGGCGTAATACGCTACCATTTCGCGTGTCGTGAAGCATTTGAACTTAGCTCCCGTATTATTCATCAAGTCTTCTAGAACGGTTTTAGATCTACATCGGGTGCTTTTGAATGCGATGTGCTCGAAAAAATGGGCGATTCCATTTTCGAAAAGACTCTCGTATCGAGAGCCTGCATCGAAATAGAGGCCTATGCATGCATTGTAGCATTCTCGTTCCTCAGTTGCGACGGTCAGCCCATTTGGCAGTTGGGTGACTTCTGTAGACGGAAGGTTCCGCAAGAAATTATGAAATGGAATTGGATAAGGATAATTTCTTATACTAATGTACTGTAGCTTGCAAACTTTTCTTAAAATGTTCACGGATTTCCACATTGGTATGACGTTGATAGTAATAATGTCGATAAAATAACAATAGGTAGTTATGGAAACGTACACTATAGTCTATGCTCTGTGCTATGGGACCACTAAATAGAAAAATATTCTTCTTCGAAAAAGTATCAATTTTATGGAGAGTTAAAAATGGTATTGTTATATGTATAATTAATAATAAGTTATTATTTTCACAATAGCAATAATTATTCAGTCCTTAGTCATATCAAAGGCTGATATTATATCATATCAAACATAAATACACTCAGAACAGTTCTCCAGTGCACCTATATATAGGGAATTGTATTTGGGATATCGTTTTATTACAAAAAATTCTCTAATAAAATATGGGAAGTGTCTAAAATATTGACTAGTTAGTACTTTACCGTAACTTTTCAGACGCGGTAATTTAATTCAAACGTATTTTACGTACACGGCGTTTTCATTTAAGTTATACGAATTATTTACTTCTGCAAGAAGTTAATAATTATAGCTTTCCTTTAATACATTATGTGAAGTCAGCAGGGTTTTTATCAACTGGTCCCAAACGACCCTATATAATCTGAGCTATTTTTGCACATACACCCATGGCTCATGCAGATGTAAAAAAATGTATTTAAATATCTACATCAGTTGCCTACTACTACCCATAACACAAGCTCAGTTTAGCTTTCGACTAAATGACATTGTGTGAATTGTCCTGGGATTATTATTATCATTATATAATATAAAACAAAGTCGCTGTCGCTGCCTGTCCCTATGTATGCATAACTCTTTAAAACTACGTAACGGATTTTAAAGTGCGTTTTATTAATAGAATGGTTTAAGAGGAAGGTATATATATATAATACATCTACTTTATAGTTCTATCTCATAGTTTCTGATAGACTGTTAACTAATCATTTACACTACAATTATATTGGAACAGTCCAACAACAACTCCCTCAATGATTTTCCACTATCTTTGCCAAAATTGCCTCAAAATTATTCATGAATATCCATTGCTTCGACGAGCTTAGGCCAAATACCCGTATTACATTTTTGGCACTAATATTAATGGATTTATGTGTTAATGGCTTCTAATCCCTTAATCCTATTACTATCCTCCCTTCACCCTACCTGCCAACTTTATTCAAAATTAATGTCCCTGTACTGTTTGGGATGATCAATAAATTAGTACATACAAATAAAATAGATATATGAACGATTTATTACTATTGGGCAGTTTGTATTTTCACAAAATTAAATATGTAATGCTGATCAACAGTTATTTAAAAGAGCAACAAGTAAGTTGTTTGTACGTTCTTTTAGTGATCTCTCTGCATTTTGGATGAGAGATAGAGTTAAAATAATATTATATGAGTATTAAAAAGTGCTTACTTTAAGTTTATATGAATAAAGATTACTTCTATTCTATTCTTTCAGCACACCCCTTACAGCAAAACTGTAAGGGTAAACAAAATATACCAAAGTGTACTTTTATATTCACGTCTATTACCACATATGGTGTAAACAGATGAATTGTCAACTGTAGACATTTTCTTCTCACTGGGTATATCTGATAATATTAGATTAAAGTTAGTTATCAAAATAAAGAAAGAAGAAAATTATAGTTTATTCAATAATATACACTTTACGAATAAAAATATTAAAAAAAAAATTGTGATTTCTCTATCGATGTTTTCATCAGCGAAGTGTCAATCTTTACATAGTATAAAAGTCGCTTTCGCTGTCTTTATGTTGCTGATTTTTTATTTTGATTCACTTTCATTTTATTCCAATCAATCATGATAGTGCGGACGCAGTATTTAGTAGAATCTACTTGTTTTAACTATACTAATGCTGTTGACCACAATTGGGCTTTACAGCTTCACCTACATAGGTGGTTGAAGAATAAGTAGTGTACAATGATAGAGACTCATTGCCTAATTCGAAGGGCAACGGGCGTGAAGATTGATAGCATAATTAAAGTTCTCTATGGATGTTTACTCGAGTTATATTTTGTAAATGTCTGCGTAGATACATTATTCTCGCCTACAACTACTTTGTGCTCAGTAGAATTACAGGATAAAAGGTATGATCTTACTATAGTCATCCAAGTAGGCAATGTTTGAGTGGTATCGCGGATGTCACATGTTTTTTTAATTACCGTGGTACTGTTCGTTTACCATACATAGGCGACGGTAACCACTTACCGTCAGATGGGCTGTCAGCTTGTCTGCCTATAAAATTCTATAAAATTGAAATATACAGGTACGCAAAAATAATGGAGTGGAAAAATAACAGGACCCTGTATGGAAGATATCAAAATTTTATGAGTTATAAACTTGTAACGCGGAATTGAGAATAACATAACGTTGTTTATTTCTATTTTGCATAAAGTATCAAGAAGCCGCTCCTTATTATCGCAAATCATAATAAAGTTACCGAGCTGCTTTAGCAATTTATAAATATATCATCACGGATGTTATTCTACATGCAGTAGTCAGTGTTATTGACAAACATATATACTTTCATACTACAGAACTCTCGGAATAATTATATAATAATAATAATCTAACATATAAAATTCTCGTATTTGTTACCAAACTTCAAATTCCTCTGAAACGGGTTTACCGATATTTGTAAATTTTTTTGTGCATATCGGATAGGTCTGAGAATCGGCCAATATCTATTTTTCATATACCTCCTCATGTTTTTTGTTTGTAAAAATAGTCAAATAAACCAAAATAAAAAATTCAATAAACCTTTCTAGAATAAGAATTACAGAAAACCGCTCACACAGACACATGTTGGTGAAGCCGCTACTCAGATTAGCACGCACAAATACAATCCAGACAAAAAAATCTAAAAAATAATAATTATTTTTGGTTTTGTTTCATTGACACAGTCCTCCGATATAACTTTTTTTCATTTATTTCAGATAGCGATCAATTACATTTCTATTATAGTTACAATTATAATTATTGTAGTTACAAATATATATACTTTTTGGAATGGAGAATTCATATCAAATCAACAATCCATGCCAAGAAAATATGCTGTATTTTGGCGATTCATAAAAAAAAAAAATGTACCATAATAAAATAATAAAAAAAAATACAGTTAAGAAATGACTACTTCAATATAAGGGCTTTCATTAAGAACTAAGCCGTTGATTTATTACTATTACAGCTGAAAATTAATGTCTTTGGCGAATAAGTATTTAGAAACTTCAAAAGCAATATTTGAAGTACGAGTAAGTACATAACGTATGAATGGAGTTGGAAAGTGCAATCGGCTAACAAATTTCCGCGGTAATAAAGTTTACCGGCATGTTGCTGCTCTAAACTGAAAATCGTCATAAATGTATCACGAAATAGGTAGAATATACTTGATTTTTTTTCTTGTTTATTCAAAAGGTGAAAAAGAAGCAGCAGGAACTTATACAGAGCAGCATCACAGACATCTTGAGACGCTAGTGGTACCACTCATGCTAGCTTTTCAAGATGTGTTTCGGTTGTAGGATGAGTAAAATATCATGTCCGGAATGTGAACGCATGAAGTGACATGGGTAACCACGCAAATGACTTTGTCCAAAGTCCACTTTGGTTAAATGTATATGAACATAGGAACATATTTATACATTTTGAGCATACAAAATTCTGTTAAAATATATCTTTTTTAAATTTGTAATTAATAAATATACGATTTCAAAAATTAATGTGTATCAATTAAAATTTCTGTGTGCGATTTCGTTACACTGCACATTTAATTACACAATAATAATTGAAAACTCAAAAAGGTCACTCAGTTTAATATTAAATTAATTGGTTATTTGCTAATTAATAGTGAATTTTGTAATGTTAAAATGAATAAATGAGCACACATGATATATTTGATTGTACATGAAATAGTTTTGGTTATGACTTATTGATGCGGAATGAAAACAATGTTGATGGTGAACGAGTGTACAAATTGGTTGCCGGTCGTGAGAACACTGATAACAAGCCAAGTCAATTCGAGTAACGGCTGTAGGTTCTCTGCTATATTACTTTCAAGTATACCGCAACGAAAACGAAATATGAGCATGTCGAGTGTTGATAATGATTCTGACCACTACATTTGAAATTACAGTTGTGAAGGTATTTTATTATTACACATTATCACAGTCACAATATCTTAATCTTTCTTAATTAATATTATAAATACTAGATGTACCCGTGACTTCTCGCGCGTGGAATTTGACTTTATTTTTCTAAAATGAAGGTAGTTACTCCTTATTACATCAGCTATCTGCTAATAGAAGTCCCGTCATTTCAGAGATTAGGAACAACAACAACCGGAACAAACAGACAGACAGACAGATAGACAAAAATATTATAATGAAAAATGTTATTTGGGTGTATATACCGTATTTATATTCACATGCATGCAGTAAAAAGTGGTTATTTAATATTAAAAACAGACACTCCAATTTTATTTATATGTATAGATTAAATGTCTTTATTTATTGGATGTTTGTTACTCTTTCACGGAAAAACTACTGAATGGATTTTGATGAAACTTTATAGTAATATAGATTGCGCATCAGAATAACATAGGCTATATTTTATATAGAAATTTATCGCGCGTGAAACCGCGGGCACAGCTAGTTCACAATAAATTAAATGATAAAATATCAAACTACGCAAACGTTAATCTGTTAAGGTTAGCCCTCTCGAGGGCAACTAATGCTAAGCTTAACGGGCTCAAATTAGCACTCAATCATATAAAACCATAATGTCTACAACTAAACAAGTAAAAAAAAACGTTTTCTTTTTATATTGTTTATTGTATTGTTTGTTACAATATTTTTTAAATAATTTGTAATAGTTATCTTTTAAGAGTTCCTACAACGCAGTCATTATATATCCTGTCAATTTAATACAGCTACTAAATACAGCTTAGATTTAGTAAAGCAAGATTTCTCAAAGTAAAGTAGAGGTACCTAATACTTTGGGTATACCGGTTAGTTATTATGCGTAATTACTTCTGTATAAACTATCACTTTCACTAAGGTAGACTCACCTTAAGTGAATAATATGCCATTTTTTTAATAAGACATACACATAAGAAATATCGATTGATTAGCAGCACAACATTAAACATTAATTTCCTTTCTACGTTTTCTTGTCCTTAAATTTAATCTGATTGTTAAGTAACATCATTGAGTCACTACCAAATAGAAGTCTATTTGGTAGTGACTCAATGGAAATAGCATATAAGTTTGAACAAAGTTCCACCGGAAAACCATTCCATCATAGTCTCATTCAATTTTCTAATACCAAAACTACATTGAAAGATCGATTGCTTGCGTTTTGAGAATAGTAAATTTAATAAACCAAGAATTAATTCAAAGTTTTTTGCGTGGGCTCTATTTGAATTTTATCTCTGACACATTTCAGCCACCCACAATGTAGCTTTTTGTCAGCTATACTTCGATGGGAAGGTGAGGAAAAGTAGTGATATTACAGGGTGAATGCCTCCGCATGATGTCTTAGCCCTCGGGAATGGTAATGCATTAATCAAATTAAATAAATTTATGTAAGTCTAATAAAGTAAGTTCTCGAGTGGCGACCGCGGACCGGAAGACGCAGAGTGGGAAGGCTGCCACCAAGGTGGACCGACGATGTGGTCGAAATCGCTGGAAGCCGTTGGTTGCGAACAGCGCAGGACCGATCGACGTGGAGATCTTTGGGGGAGGTAATTGTTCAGCAGTGGACGTCTCCCGGGCTGAAATAATTATGATGATGATGTTTCAGATATGATATGTTAAATTTAGCGACAGCCTATATCTAAGCTAAGACAAACTGACAAGAATCGCAGGTTATTCTTTTCAAATGAGCCCAAACTTTTCATAATACAAAAGATTCATTTTAACTTAAATTAAAGACAAAGTAGTGACCTCCAGCATATACAGCAGTATTTTTATCGAAATGAAGTATTGTAACCAGTAGCCGGAACCCGAACGGACTATACATGTGTAGAAGTTATGTCCGTACATACATGAACAGTACGTTCATGTATGTAACCGACGCGACGGTGGCCATCTACCATCAAGTGGTCCTTAAGCATGTGCGCCATTTTAGTAAATAAATAAATTGCGAAACCCTTTGTATTTGTAAAAATAGTCGAAACGATTTGCAATTCAGATTATGTATTGCAGGAGGGTCCGCCCAATGTTTTGTTCTTCGGAGAACAATGGCCGTTCCAGGTAACCTCTGGGATTTTATTTTGCTTTGTTTGCTGTAGCTGTGAGTGCCTATGAGCGGCTGACTGGTCGCAATCTTACAGTTGACATGAAATACAAGTGGTTTGCTTCATTTTCCTAATTAAAGTAAACTAATTAATGTTTTCTATTACTTATGAATGGTATTATTAAATATTTACATAATATGAATACCTTAAACAAAAACTTTGTAGTCCTTTTTATGAAAATTACAGGAACTGAGGAGAATGCAGTTTTGGCACCTTGGAAGTTTATTCCATATAAACTTCCACGGTAGTATTTTTAGTATTTTTTTAATAAATCTTAAATATATTACATTCTTAAATAACAACATTAATGGAAATGGTGATTACGTTAGTGTTATATATATATACGCTGACGGATCACCCAAAAATGTTAAAGATTACATTAGGTCACTCAGTCCAGTATCCAGACAAACATATTAGAAATTAAGAACAGTCTCGCTACATAAGTACTAACAAACCTAACCTCTTTCTTTCTTTCTTTCTTTCAAACCTACTATTAAGCCACAACTGCACAATTAGGTACCAGATAATTACAGTAGACAAACAATAAACTTTTATTACAAAATCAAGTCCACTTCATCTCGGATAATGTAAGAAAATACTTCAAATCGTCCCTAAGATTTGGCGTTGAAACAATAGCTTCAAAATGAGGGCGCCCATAAACAGAAATGTTCCTGACACCATAGCAATTTGGCTACAGAATTGTGGGCAAAGTTTTTAAGAACCTTTCATCTTCACGGACGAAATGACTTAAAACTTGACCCCGGGTACGGCGAGGTGTATTTTATATTTAAATTCATATCATCTCATTATGCAAATAAGCTACAAAATGAGGCATTCCGTGAGGCGCATTAGATTTAATGTTAGTTACTAAAAAGTGGAACTTATGAGAAATTTTGCACACAAATTTAGGATTTTCCTATAGATAGTTAGATAATTATGTTATACAGTTGTTAACAATTCTCATTTGTAATATTTATAGTTTTTCGATTGTGTTTTACACATAATTAACTGAATTTGAATTTAAACTTTTAATAAGTTATGTATGTATTCAATAATCGTGTAGCAATATTTAGTTAAAAGTCGATGTCATTATTTTATGTTACCTTATATTTTATAGGTAGTTATTTTTCTTATTACATACATCTTAAAATATATTTTATATATATTTTAAATATTTAAATATTTTCATAAGATAAACGAAGCAATATTGGCAGACATGCTTTCATTTAATTATCACTAACACTCATTTATACAGAATTTAAGTTACACATTTTTATATAAATAACATTTAAACAATTTATTGTATTGAAATATAATCCATCAATTATATTATAAAACTTGTTTGGAATTCCAGTAACGAAGAGTTACACCCTACATCCTGTATATAACATCACTAAAGCGCTGCAAGTTACAACTAAATACGTCTAGCTCTGGGAATCGACTAAGTTTATTGAGTTATCCATTCAGAGTTATGGCTGAATTTAAACGTAATATCAGTCGCAAATCCACTTGAACACCTATGTTGCATCAATTTAATGTAATAAGCGGATGCTCGGCGCGATCACTTGTGCAGTCAAATAATCCTCACTAATTGGTAGCAAACGGTTTTGTTTGCAAAACCGTCAGACACGATGTCTGAGGATGGCTTTCTATTCACCTAAATATCGTAAGTACGTTGACAGACCAATTATGAGATTAAGTTACATTTATTAACTTGATTTTATCCGCAACTATGTTGGTTGGACCATGGCTGACTGGACCGAATATTATATTACTTTTTGTGGTTTTAAGTAATTGGAATGACGAGTAACCTAGCGGCTGAATAGTCGAACTGTTTAGCAAACCGACTTATTTGCAACGCACGCAAACATTTACATTCATAAGTATGATTGTTTGTATTACTCTGGGTGTTTTTACGTATATTACTTAAACACCTTTTTATTTGAATACATATATAATGTACAATATTATATACATGTATTCAATCAAAAATGTGTTTAAGTATTTATATCATTTGTGTAATACCCATAACATAAGCTCTGCTTAGGTGGCGTTGAATAAAACTCTCCAGAGGCGAATAATTAATAACAAACCAAATTAATCCGATAGACTGCGTTGGGCTCCTTATTACTTTATATTAAAATATACTTAAAATGTTGTCATAATTAGCGTGGATTTCTTCGTTCAGCAAAATTTATAATTAAAATCTATACAACCTGCTTATTATTTTCTCTATGATTATAATACAAACCTATTATTCTATGTATACACTATGAAAACAATTACACTTATGACAATGTTTATGTCACAATTACAAAAAATTAATTACCTCTGAATCGTATACAATTTATATCTGTCAGTCATTTTATTATGCTTAAGCAAGTTTCAGCATCAGCTTCAAAAGCTTTTAAGGCTGGATTAAGACACTTCTGGGCCGAATGTACGCCCGCTGAAGTACCATCCAATACTAATTTATGCATACTGCCCAATGGAGTGAGGGTGGCCACAGAGGAAACTAATTCACCCCTAGCCTCAATCGCACTTTACATAGAAGCTGGTTCAAGATTTGAAACTGCCTGTAACAATGGTATTACACACTTTATAGAGCATATGGCGTACAAGGGATTTAACTCAATGACGAAATATCAACTAAAGGATTCACTTTTCCTAATGGGTGCTAAGTTAAATGCCCAAACTAGCAGAGAAATACAAATATACTCAGCTAAGTGTCTGGCGGAGAGCGCTGGGAATATAATCCACATACTATCAAACGTGATCACTGATTTAGCGCTATCAGAAGAGGAGATAGAAGCGGAGAGGTACAATATTTGCTTAGAGATGGTGGACGCCGACAACGATCCCAAACAAGTCGTGTTTGATTACTTACACCAAACTGCTTTCCAAGGTACTCCCTTGTCGCAGCGCGTTATCGGACCCACGAGAAACATTCAACGGTTCGACCGAGATTTCACTGCGACATTCCTGTGCGAGCATTATCAGCCCTACAAGTTGGCTCTTGTGAGCTCGGGTTGTCTAGACCACTGTGAGATGGTTAATTTCGCTCTCGCTAGGTTTGGACATATGGTTGGTAATCCTGCTTACGAGTCTGATGAAGGTCCCTGTCGGTTTACAGGTTCTCAAGTAATTTACAGAGATGATTCTATGCCCTTTGCTCATGTAGCCATAGCAGTGGAGGCCCCCGGGTACAACAGCTCTGAATATTTGAAGCTGCTTGCGGCTAGTTGCATCGTTGGTTCGTGGAATAAATGTCAGGGGGGCGGCATAAATAACGCGTCCCCGTTGGCGCAATCTGCGGCTACTACCAATATCTGCGAAAGCTTTGAATCTTTTTATATTACTTACCGCGATATCGGGCTCTGGGGTTGCTATTTTGTATGCGATCGCATGAATCTCGAGGACATGGTATACAATATCCAAAATACGTGGATGAACCTGAGTGTTTCAACTCTGTACTCAGAAGCACGACGAGGGGCGCTGCAAGCATATTTGAAGCTAGCAAAAGCAATATCAGGTGATCCTTGTGATGATATTGGCATGCAAGCGATATACCGTTGTAGTAGGAAATCTATAGAAGAAATTGCTAACGATTTGTCGACTGTAAATCAACAAAATATAAAAGAAACCGTAGATAAATATATTTACGACAAATGTCCTGCCGTTGTAGCGGTGGGGCCGACTGAAAATCTACCAGATTATACGAGAATCAGGGCTGGTATGTATTGGCTTAGATTCTAGTTGTTGTGAAATTGTTTTTGAATTGAATTATATGACAAAAATTAACACCTGAATATTAAATGTTTTAATATTACGAAACGTATAATTTATTTTATATAACATTGTTTATAGGTATTAAATATAATTACTTCATCCATTTATGAATGAATGATTCTATGTATGAATTCATAATAGAACGTAAAATAATATTTTAAATTAGATTGTGAATATTTTATCTGAAATTCGATTTCGGAAGATATATACTTGCGGAATAGCATTATAAATTCCCGTGTTGGAAGTAGTTCTTCTTCGAGAATCCGACAATAACTCCGTGAGATTCGAACGCAGGATTTCGATAAAGCGAAAAGCATGTTTTAATCCTTAGCCTCCGTCTGCGAATATTGAGGGTGATATTGAACCCCAGGGAGATCTGGTGGGGGCACATTTATTAAAGTACCTAATAAAGCGGTTCGTCGCATTATATTGTAGAAAGTGTGCGACCGCTACCCATAAGTAATAACGGATATGAACTTTATCACAATGGCATTAAATCCGGAATACTATAGGAGCGTTCACGATTAAGTTGTTGTAATCTAAATTGATAGTAACAATAACGTTATTAGGAGTAACAGCTTTATCAGCTTTCGTGTACGCAGTCTTTTTTGTTTTTGTCGACTAAATTTAGCAATTGGTAAGATGGTTTTAGTAATTTGTAATTTAATATACATTTTAATAGCTGTTTCATGTTAAAACTGACGAACTGACGGTAGATTTGATATATCATAAGAGTCTTTAAAAGACCTACATGAATAAAGATATTTTATTGATTGATTTGATTTGAATGGATGTTAATAGAATGGTGCATCCGTTTGCGCTAACGGTTTACGCTTGCGGTGTACCAGGTGTGGATGATAAAATGAGCATGAAGTCAGCTTAGTTAGCCCATATTGACAATTGGAAATTTACCACGATGGTTTCCAAGTTGAAACACGTGGAGGTCAAACTACCATATAACATATCTTTAATCATATACATTACAATAATAGTTCTGGCTATACTATCTGTGATCATAGTAAAACTCCATCGGTAGATCCCAACTTCCACAAGCCTGCCCGGAGGTAATTGATAAGCGTCTTTTTAATATACTTTATCCCGATTATCTGGAGAATGATCGTGGTCGGTCCATTAATTTGTATTAGTGTTGCCATCAGTATATCAATCTTACAACTAATAATAGCGGTAATAAACCCTTTTTAATAGTAAATAATCTATTTCTATATAGGTTTACTATCGAGTCGGAAAGATGCGCAGAAAATGTAGCGCTTACCAATTAAAATTTATTAAAATTTATATCCAGCCACCTATATAAAATTGTGTGTGAATACATACAATTTCATCTAAATCAACCCAGCCGTTTAGTAGGCCTGAAGTGACAACACCTATAGAGGAGTAATATTTAGTAGATATTTATAAAATAAGATCTTTTTTACATACACAAATACTTGTAAATGTGAACCTGTATGTCTGTTTGCTAAAACAGCTTAAGTTACATTAATGAAAATTGAGGTAAAGATAAACTATATCACAAACACGAATATAGATTCTTTTAACTAAAATGCTGACAGTTTGAGAGTTATAAAAAATGCTAACAGATAATATAATAATAATAATAATCTCAGGACAATCCACACAGCGCCATCTAGACCCAAGTTAAGCTAGCTAAAGCTTGTGTTATGGGTACTAGATAACTGATACAAATGCATAGATATTTTTTTTCGTAAATGCATACATATTATACATAGAAAACACCCAGACCAATACAAACCATCATACTCATAAATACAAATGTTTGTGCCGTGCGAGGAATCGAACCCGCGACCATCGGACGTAAAGCGGTGTGCTAGACCGCTAGACCACCGAGGTCGTCACACACACATTGCAACAAATATTATATTCCTTTATAAAGGAAAGGAAAATCTCTTATTGTGGGTTAAAAATTATATTAATGTTTAAAATAAAACGAATACGAGTCCGGTGTTTAATATTAATAACGATATTTAAACAAAGCGTCTGTAAATTTTAATACGCCTCAAGTTACGGACGAGCGAAGTTAATAACAGCTCAATGAAATTACAATGAAAATTTAATTTTATTTGTTACTCTGTTTGGCCAGTTGTTTATGTTGTCCGACCGTATATTTCTTTTAATATTTTAGTATAACCTCATGTATTCCATACTCTATGTAGAATTACAGTCGTTAAGAGAGTAAATCCATATGCCAATTGTTGTGGTGGACGCAATATTTGACAGGCCGATATTTAAATTTATTAATAAAGAAAATGATTAAAATATATTAGGGAAGTATAACTATTGCCGCCCTTAATTTGGATTGTTTTCTGTGTTTCCATTATCAGAGAGTTAACCGGATCAGAACCATCATAAATTGATAACGAAAGATTTTTTGGCAACGTTCCAACTCGTATTTGAGTGCTTTGGGTTCTAAATCGTGGTACTAAATTTATGGGCTATAATTCTAATACAATTTTGATTGACGGCCATGGTGATCTAGCGGTTTCGCACATTGCCTTTCTTTCGACGGTCGTGCATTCGATTCCTCGCACAATTAAATATTTGTATTGATTAGTATGACTGTCTGTATGTATTGCTATTGGCATTTTCTATGTTTATTAAGTAGGTATTTAAGAAAAAATGTATTTAAGTATTCATATTACTTGTTTAGTACATATGCTATCTTTACTTTGGGACTAGATGTCGCTATTGTCCCATTATCGCTATTGTATTGTCCAGGGCTATTATTATTATTTAATTATATATATAAATAATTTACAGTTATTTTTGTTTTATTTAATCGTTGATTCCTGATTACAGTCTTAAATATTCCAGGGCGGTAGATATTATCATAAAAAATAATTATATGAAAAGATTTATTTTAATAATTCTCTCATAATGTAATTAGATACTTTCAATACAGACAAACATAATGCAAAGTTTTTTTCATGAGTATCTCTTACCTATTGCCAGGAGCAGCTTACTTTGCAAGCTATATTCCGGTTTCAAAGGGGAGATAAGGCAGTGAAATTGCCCGGTACGGAGGCATAATATGTTAGTCATAACATCTTAGTCACATACAATGTATTTTGTGGTGTCTCTGCTCCTCGTATTTATGAGCCATGTTAATAAAAAGCTGACGTGTATAAGTGGTTGTAAAATCTGCTATAATGGTATGGTATGAACCTCTACCTTATTTTTGCTTTTCTTTTTTTCTATTAATTTTTATTTCCATGATACAGTTTATACTACATAATTTAATTGGTACTTATTATTAAAGTATATCATATTTAAATTTCAGTTTCAGTGTGACTCGCCGTTAATTCTTTTAATAAAGACTTTAATACTCGTATTTTAATACACATTTTTTACTGTATTTGTTCGAATGCCGTAATCTATGTTCAAATTCCATACGTCTTAATTTGGAAGTTTTGCTTCTAAATATTAGGCTTCGGTCGTTAGGAGCCAAGTAAATAGAAAGAAATGTACACTAAAGTAACAAACAAGTAGCAGCAAGGCTGGATGATGTGATCCAATAGTAAGTGTAATTTTTTAAGTTAAAAGTGGACAAAACTGCCTGTCGCAATTAGTTATATAGTAATGTTCGTGTACTATATTGAATACAGATCGTACAATGCCTTTAACATTGTCTTCATAGAACAAGTCAAAATACTGTTATAATTGACGTCTAAATCTGTTGCAGACATCTCGACATGGCCGAGATCCGTTGAACATCTTACATCCACGCCTGAATTAACTTCATAATAGAGCCAATCGAGCATCAAACTCCAATAGATACTGCCGGCATTTCCGACATATCCACTGCCGTTGATAACAGACAGATCTTGTAAGATAAACGAGGCTAAGGTTCGAATGGAAGTTTTACTAACTAACCGGTCAGAGTCGGATTTTTACTGATATATATTTGTATAGATAAATAGATTTTCAGTTGTTATCACATTATTTTTTTAGAAAGTATAATTTTTGTATTATAATGATTAGTGATAAATTGCGGTAAAATATCTATACATATAAATAAAATGGAAATAATTGCTTTTAACACATGGCTATGAATACGGTATTTTTTTTACAATTTTTGTCTGTCTCTCTATCTGTTTGTACCGGCTAATCTCTGAAATGGCTGAACCGATTTTGACGAGACTTTTTTTGGCAGGTAGCTGATGTAATAAGGAGTAAATTATACCTACGTATATTTTAGAAAAATAAAGTTCAATTCATCACGGATGAAGTCGCGGGAACAGCTAGTATAAAATAAGATTTCATCATCATGCGGTAGGGCGCGGACGCTGATTCAGAAATATGATGTTAATTCGCTGACTGATTAATATCCAAGGCTTGTTTGTGTTACCTGCAATATATTGGGCTCGTACTCCTGTAGCACCACCACCTCTATACAGCTGTTGTACAGATCACAATGATATTATTTAGATTCGAGATTAACGTAATAGCAACAGGGCTGTTATTATATACATATTTTTTTATATAAAAGGCATAGTACAAATGCTCGATCAAACGATATATAAAATTACATTTGACAATATAAAAATTAACTTTAATAATAATTCGATAAAAACATTAATAATGAATCCAAAAATATAAGGGTACAATATTTCATTACATCGTAATAATGCGTTTTTTATAAATTTTAATTACCTAACTCTCATTTTTTTTACTTATTTAAATATGTGTACTGTATAATATGTGTACCAATTCACCGAAGAGGATAGTATTTACAGAAACAGTGAATTAAGTGTATCTCTAGTTTAAATATAATAAAACGCACGAATATAACATTTTGTGGATATAACTTTAACTTAGTTAAACTTTAAGTTTCCTTAATTAATTACTTTATTAAGTTATTGGGTAGCTATGATAAGTATAAAAAATCCGCTATCCTCCCATCAATTGTAGCGCATTTCACCGCAGATTCAGCGCGGTATATTTTTGTTATAACGACACCCCATTCCCGATTAATG